TTTTTTTTTTTTTTTTTTTTTACCAAGATATCTTGAGCCTAGTTACATAGCATTGGCTCCACCCTAGAAGGTAAGCCACCGTAAGAGACTACGACGGAAAATATTGCACCCCCATGACCGAAGAAAACACTTTTGTGAAACCAGACAGCTCAAAATGGAAACTGTCAGATCTTGAGATGGGTGACACGTTAGGGACAGGTTCCTTTGGTCGTGTTCGTATCGCGAAATTGAAAGGAACAAATGATTACTACGCAGTAAAGTGTCTAAAGAAGCGGGAAATTCTAAAGATGAAGCAAGTACAACATATCAATCAAGAAAAACAGATTCTTATGGAGCTGTCACATCCTTTCATTGTGAACATGCTCTGTTCATTTCAGGATGAACGACGTGTTTACCTTGTGCTTGAATTTGTGATAGGTGGGGAGATGTTCACACACCTTCGTTCTGCCGGACGTTTCCCAAATGATGTGGCAAAATTTTACCACGCGGAACTTGTGCTTGCCTTTGAATATTTACACTCTAAAGATATTATATACCGTGACCTGAAGCCGGAGAACCTGCTGTTGGATGGAAAGGGCCATGTGAAGGTGACGGACTTTGGATTTGCAAAGAAGGTGCCTGAGCGCACTTTCACACTCTGCGGCACACCCGAATATCTTGCGCCGGAGGTGATCCAGAGTAAGGGACACGGCAAGGCTGTGGACTGGTGGACAATGGGCATTCTGCTGTTTGAATTTATCGCCGGGTATCCGCCATTCTACGACGACACTCCGTTCCGAACATACGAGAAGATTCTCTCGGGACGCTTCAAGTTTCCAAATTGGTTTGATGCCCGTGCACGTGATCTTGTTAAGGGATTACTGCAAACGGACCACACAAAGCGATTGGGCACGCTAAAGAGTGGTGTAGCGGAAGTGAAGAACCATCCCTACTTTCATGGGGCAAACTGGGAAAAGCTCTATGCACGTCATTATCCCGCACCTATTCGCGTAAAGGCGAAGAATCCCGGCGACACAAGTAACTTTGAGCGATACCCTGAGAGCCAGGAGAATCGTGCACCTCCATTAACTGCAGCACAGCAGGCTGAATTCCGTGGATTTTAGTAATGTTTCCTTTTATATGTATGATATGAAGTTTATTATTTTCTAGTATTTGAAATTGCACTTGATGAATAATTAGATACATATTCGAATATATATATATATATATATATTATATTATATTTATATGTGTTTATGATTTGTCATCGCTAATGGTGCGTTTGTTACTTTTGACTTCTCTCATTCGTAGGAGTTTGCTTGGTGTTTTGCTGCTGAAATTCATGGAGGAAAAATTTTTGTTTCTGTTTCGTGTATGTAAAAGAAAAAAAAAGAGTAGGAAGAAAAAGTTGATTAAACTTTTTCCTTTTTTTGGTTATTTCTTTGGTTTTGCAGCCTGACGTATGAAAAAGATAGAGATTTTTTTTCCCCTATAGGTGACGACTGCTACAATGTTTTTCTCTGAATTTGAATTTTAATAAATATCTATTAATTTCTTTAACTACTTGTCTCCATTCTACTTCCTCTTTCCCCCTGTTTGGAATTCCGTTCTATATATTATCTGAAGAAATATATATTTTTTTTCTTCCGATTATGGCATTTCCGATATCTTGTTTTTTTTTTTCGCTGTATGTGTATTTTTTCTTTTTTTTTGTGTGTGTGTGTCTGTGTGGAAGTGCTTTTTTTGGGTTCCTCACTAGGGGATGACATGAGAAAAAAGGAAGAGAAAAGAAATGCCTCAAAAATTGTAAATAAGGACGCTAAACAAATAGAAGAAAAAAAAAAAAAAAGAAAAAAAGATTCATGTATTATTGGATGTCTTTGTAAATATCTGATAGTAGTTAGAATGCGCCTCATTCATAGTAAGTGCATTTCTTGTCAATGGCTTTATTTATTTGTTTTTTTATTTTTACTTCTATAGGGAGGCCAAATCTGGAATAATGGAATCTATGGCAGTGTTGTTATATTTATTTTTCTTCTTATTTTTGATGAAGACGTAATGTTTCTTTCTTTGTGAATATGTCTGAAGACTATTTTCTTTTGCAATTTCTCTATTTGTATTTTGTCGTTTCCCTTTTTTTTTTGGAGGGGAGGTTCTTTTGTTATTACTATTGTTATTATTATTATTATTCTTTACATGTCTTCCTGAAAAAAAAGGGAAAAGAGAAGAAATATATTTTTTTTTTTTGTTTGTTTCCTCTTCCGCTTCTTTCTTACTTTCACTACAAGTAGCACTATTGCTGTCCACATCATATATTGAACTGATACTCTTTGTTTGCCCAAACGGGAACCTCTGAAGGAAAACTAAAAAAAAAAAAAAAAAGCATACAATATCAAAGACCTTGTATTACTTCCTAAACAACAGTAGATCTCGGAATAATAAGAACAACAGAAAAAAAAAAAAAAAANAAAAAAAAAAAAAAAAAAGAAGTAAAGTAAAACAAAAGATATACCCATTTACACACAAATAACCAACTGAACATGTCCTCCAAGCGTCAATTGCTGAAGATTATTATTCTTGGCGACAGTGGGGTTGGTAAGACCTCACTCATGCACCAATACGTGAATAAGAAGTTTGACAGTCGCTATAAAGCCACCATCGGAGCTGACTTTCTCACAAAAGAATTGGAAATTAATGGACAGCTCGTTACACTTCAAATTTGGGATACCGCCGGTCAGGAACGTTTTCAATCACTTGGATCTGCTTTCTACCGTGGGGCCGATGCGTGTATTCTCGTCTTTGACGTTACCCAACAGGAGTCCTTTGCACATATCTCATCGTGGCTGGAGGAGTTTAACATTCAGGCAGGCAGACGTGACAGTGTGCTCATTGGTAATAAAACAGATCTAAACGATCGCAGGCAGGTGGCAAGTAAAACTGCACAGGCATGGTGCGTCGCACAGAATAATAACCATGACGACAAGAACAACAATAACAATAATAATAACAACAGTGATGAGGCTCCTAATAGTGCGGGGGTTGAGGGCATGCAGTACTTTGAGACTTCTGCGAAGGACAACACCGGTGTGGAGGAGGCATTTCTCGCCGTTGCTGCTGCTGCCCTCGCAAAGAAGGCAACCGCAGAAGAGGATGTAGTGCTGCCGCAGTCTGTCAATCTTGCCCAACCAGCGCCACAGAGAAATAATTCTTGTCCATGCTAGTTCGTGACAAGAAAAAAAAAAAAGAAAAGAAAAGAAAAGAGAGAACAAGAATGAAGTACAAGAAAGGAAGGGTGAAGGAAAATCACTGAAAACAGAGAGAAAGTAAGTGATTAATCGTACAGGAGAATTATTTCTCTTTCTCTAGGAAAATGAACATAAATAAAAGAGAAAAGAGGAAAAAAAAAGAAGGATAGGAGTGATGAGCCATATATACATAAAAGGCACATAAGGAAATGAATATTAAAAGGAATATCTAGAGAAAATAAATTTCAGACCCTTTTATTTATTTATTTTTCTTTGCTTCCTCTTATTTCTAACGTTTTTTTTTTTTTTTTTTTTGTTTTATTCTTTTGCAAATTTCTCTGTGTCCAAAGCACAGAGGGTGAAAATCAAAAGAAAACAAGAAATTACACCTTTCTCGTGGTCAATGAGGTGGGGTTGATAGAACGTGGGCGACCCAATGATATGGGAATAGAGGAAATGTGCTAATCGAAGAAGAAAAAAAAAGAAAAAAAAAGGTGGCGCTATCATTTTTTACCTCTCTCTTTTTTTTTTTTTCTTTTTTTCTTTTTTTCTTTTTTTTTTTTTTATTCCTTTTTTCAGTGTTATTCATACTATGAGAGTCTTGTGAGAGTATTATTAGTATCATGCGCAATTTTTTTTTTTTTCCTTCTGTTTTTTTTTCTCCTTGAAAAAAAAAAAAGTATTACTTGCGCAGGCAAAACTATATGAACGAAAAGAAAGAAAAGTTTACCGTCTGTTTTTTTTTTTCATTATTATTATTATCATTATTTTCGTGAACGCGTGTGTTGCTTCAATGATTCAACTTTATTTCTATTCTCTTGATTGGGATTTTCCACATTTTCTGTATTTCTGATGTGATGTTGATATTTATGTTTTGATATCTCCCCTTTTTTCGTTCTCTCTTTCTTATGTTCTTGTTCGTTTTCTGTTTTTTTCTGTTTTTTTTCTGCTTATGCTTTCTTTTGGTTCATGTGAGGTAGCGTAGAGCCATAGATTATTTCTGCATTCAAAGGAATAAAGGATTTTATATTGAGAAAACAAATAAATACAAAAGTGGTCTTTCAAAAAGGGCAAGATAATCACTTTATATTGTGACAGCAAAAAAAAAAAGTTTCATAGCGTTCCTGTCTTTTTTCTTTTCGAGTGGGGTTTGTGTAGTGTTTATTATTATTATTATTATCATCGTCAGTCTTTCTGTGTGAGAGAGAGAAAGAGAGAGAAATTGTGCGTGTGTCTGCTTCTCTTCAGGAGGGTTCCCATATTTTCTTCTCTTGTACTTTATTATTATTCTTGTTCTTCTTACTTGAGGCAACAATGGGTTTCGCAGATGTTTTATTGACATGTTCTTTTATTACGTTCGTTGTAGTTTGTGGATTCTCTGGATTTTTGGTGATCCTAAGTTTCTGCTTTCGTGATAAGCAGGGCCTTCTTTTGTATTATCCTGATACCCCACCCGATAGCCGATTTTTCTGCGATAGTCCTCTAGATAGAGGAATGAATAACTCTGAAAGAGTGCATATACGTACAGGAGATGGTGTAACATTGCGTGGTTTTCTCATGTGGTCCTCAGGTGAGCAACAACAACAACAACAACAACAACAAGATCAATATCAAGATCAATTGGGAGTATTGCGGGGATTGGAATCCTCAAGAAGTTACAGTTCATCATCTAGTTTTGGACTTGGATGTAATGTTTCTGCCTCTTCTCCTTTAGAGAGTTCTTGTCCAGTAAAACCACACTTTGTTATTATATATTTTCATGGAAACGCTGGGAATGTTGGACATCGTATACCCATCGCAGCTTTACTTACTTCAAGGTTTCCATGTGCAGTTCTTATGATAGATTATCGTGGTTTTGGTCATAGTGACTCTGTTACTCCGACCGAAGAAGGTTTAAAAATGGATGCTCAAGCTTGTTTAGAGTATGTTTGGCATAATCCATGTTTTCCAAGAAAACGAATTTTTATATTTGGAACAAGTTTAGGTGGAGCTGTAGCTATTAATTTAGCATCACAACCGGGGAATTCAAGACGTATCGCTGGAGTAATTGTTGAAAATACTTTTACTTCTATTAGCGATATGAGTTCCGTTTTAGCTCGTCTCGTTTGTGAACGTTTTGTTCCACGATTTTCTTTTTTATGTTTTTCTATATTTCAGTATTATTTGAGACCTTTGTGTCTTCGCATTGGATGGAGGAGTATTGATGCGGTAAAAAATGTAAAGGCACCTATGCTTTTTCTTTCTGGTTTAAGGGATGAAATTGTACCATCACAACAAATGCGAGAACTCTATGCTACGGCATCAAAATCTATGTCTTTGCGTAGATTTGTAGAGTTTGCAGAAGGGACGCATAATACTATGCCTTTACTTAACGGATATACGGACGTTATTGATGGCTTTATACGCGAGGTTTTTGAATCTGAACCAGAGATAGTATAATACCAAACCTTTTTGCTTGATTTACTTTCTTTTTTGGTATTATTTTCCCGTTCCACGTAAAAAAGCAAAGCTCCCCCCCCCCCAACCCGTGTGCTATCATTAGAGGCATAGTTATTGTTTTTTTTTTTTTTTTTTTTTTTTTCTTCAGTATATGTATATTGTTTTTTTTTTTCTGATTATTTTGTAACGTTTTTACTTTACTTTGTTGATGTAATACCTTGATTATTTTTTTTTTTTTCTTTTTCTGTTTCTGTTTCTGTTTCTTGTTAATATTGTGTATACCTGATCATTGCCCAATGACAGGGCGTTTCAATTAACAATGAGTAGTGTGAGCAGCAGTGAATGGAAGGATATTAAAGGGGTGAAACTTCGCCCAGCCACACTGGCGTATCTCTCGGAGTGTGTTGGTTACCGTTACATGGCCCCTGTGCAGGCCCGTACAGTCCCGCTGCTGTTGGGCAATTACGATGTGGTGGTGGAGGCCATCACCGGCAGTGGAAAGACACTGGCATATTTGTTACCATGTGTGGAGATGCTGCAGAGAGAACGTGTGGTGGAGACATGCAGAGATCACCCAAATGCCGTTGTCTCTGTTATTGTGTTGCCATCACGTGAATTGGCTCAACAAGTACATCTCCTTGCAAAGAAAATGTTACAATTTATCTATCAACAGTACACTGGCAATGGGTCCGCAGGGATTCCCAAGTATACATGTCAGTGCTATATTGGTGGTCGTGATATCGCCGTGGATGTGGATGTCTTTAATAAGAATGGGGGTCATGTTTTAATTGGAACACCAGGGCGATTGTATGAATTGCTGGTATCCTCCAAGTATGCAAGTTTGTTTAACTTTACAAGCTTTGAATTACTCATTCTTGATGAAGCTGATAAACTCCTTGAGTTTGGCTTTAAAGCTAAACTTGATGCCATTCTTAGGCGATTACCAAAACAAAGACGTACAGGACTCTTTAGTGCTACTCAGACAAAGGAATTAGCAGAATTGGCACGTGCGGGAATGCGTAATCCAGTTTCCGTTACTGTTCGTGTGAGTTCACTTAACAGCACCGTTTCTAATGCTGATAAACCTCAGATTCCAGAATTACTACGTAATTATTATGCTTTTACAAAAGCTTCAGAAAAACTAGATCGTCTATTAATGTTTCTCCGAGAACGTCGGGAAGAAAAGGTTCTTGTATATGTGATGACTTGTGCAAGTGTTGATTGGCTTCATGCAGCTCTTGTTGATGTCTTATTGAAGGAAGATGCGGAAAATATATTTGCATTACATGGTCAAATGAAACTTGAAAAACGTCAACGAGTACATCGTGCTGTAACTAAACAAAATCGTTGTGTTCTTATTTGTACTGATGTTGCTGCCCGTGGATTAGATATTCCTGAAGTAGGTGTAGTTGTTCAATACGATCCACCTGTTGATCCATCAACGTTTATTCATCGAATTGGACGTACAGCACGTATGGGTCGTCAAGGAGAAAGTTTGGTATTTTTAATGCCACAAGAGTTAGAATATATTGCCTTTATGAAATTACAAAATGTTATATTACATCCATATGATGAAAATAAAGATAGTATTCAACTCGCAAGAGAAACTGTAGGGGAAATGAATTCCAAACGAACTCTTATGAGTTCACAACATGAGAAACGGAAAAGTTTACATCAAGCTCAAAAAGATCAACAATTGAATCGCAAAGAACGACGTAAAAAAATACAGGAAGAACGAGAAATGGGTCGTGGTAAATTCGATCAAACTAAACGTAAAGAAGTATTAGGAGATTTATGTGAAAGTCCATCCATTTTAAAATTACGTCATGCTGTACGATATGAAGAAAATTATAAATTACTTGATTTGGCAGCTAGAGCCTTTGTTTCTTTTATTCGTGCATATAAAGAACATGAGTGTCGTTATATATTTCAACTTCAACTTATTGATCTTACGGATTTAACTCATGCTTTTGCCCTCTTCAAGGTTCCAAACTGTGGAGAGATTAAACACATGCAGATACTGAAGATACCCTTACAGGATGATCTACTGGATGTATTAGCTAAAGTCAATCAGAGAATACGAGAGAAGCATGATCGTGAAGCTAAAGAACGTGAACAACAACGACAAGCGGATGGGACACGATTAACAGACAACAATGAAGATGAGATGGACGATAGTTTGTGTGAAGCCGCCACCAAAAAACACCGCACAGAACGTAATGAAAAATTAGAAGCACTAAAGATGACTAAAATGTCCCGCGGGGAACGAAGTCGTGCATGGCGACAAGCGGAGTTGGACGAGTTGATGAAGGACAGTTACTATGTGAAGAAGGAGAAACAAGGGCGGATGAATAAGAGGATTGTAGACAACATTATGGGTGTTGATGCTATTGAAAATGCACTGCTCAGTTCACGTGAACGTCAGGAGGTGAAGAAGGTTCGCCGTGCAGCGAAATGAAAGAGTTATTTCTCTTTCTTTCTCTCTCCGTTCTCTATATATTTCTTTCTTTGTGCGTACGTACAATGTGAATGAATGAGTTGGATGAAAGAAATTGAAAGAATGGATGAGAAAACAAGAAAGAAATGCGCTGAATCGTTGAGCTAAAAAAAAAAAAAAAAGAGAGAGACAAGGTAAAAGCGATAAGGAGACCTTAAATAAAATCTCTCTGATCGATTAAAATAGGAGGTGATACAATACAATAACAAACATACAAAACATTCTAGTCGTATATACAAATCATATACTCCAATAAATCAGGAGAGATATTTTTTATTCTCTCTCTCTCTCTCCCTCTCTTTTTTTCTTCTTCCCCACCACTACTACCACTACTACCACCTCATGTTGTTGGTGTGGCAGTGGTAGTAGTACTGTGAAAGGTGCGGCTATGTCCCGTACTTGTGAGAGTGGGATGGAGAATTGCTTCTTTGTGGTTTGAGGATGTTAACTTTGCTTTGCTTTTCTTTTCTTTTCTTTTCCCTATTAAATACTTAGAACCCAAAGTTTTCCACCTTGTTTCTTTCTGACTTGTGTGGTGTGACACGAAAGTCAGGCGTAGTGTCAGTGTTACTCTCTCGCTGATCCACACTTCCTCCCCCTCCCCCCATACACCGATATATATATATATATATTAGCATTACAAGGGTAGGGAGGGAAAAGAAACAAAAAAAGAAAAAAGAGGAAGAATAAATTTAAAAAAGAAACAAAAAGGAACAACGCACCTAGGGGTTTAAGTTTAGCAAACATTCACTTCATTTATTTACATTACAAGGAACAAAAAAGGTGAATAGAAAAGCTAAAACAGAAAGAACTGTGAAAAAAAAAAAAAAACATATAAATATATACCAATTTATCCGGTATTGTGAAAGAAGGATTCTCTGAATATATATATATATATATATATATAAATCTATATATATATATATATATATATATTTTACTCTGTGTTTCATTTTCCGTAGTTACTTTGTGGGTGATGATTGTAGATTATTATGCGGTGCTGAACCTTAGTCCAACTTGCTCCGCGCGGGAAGTGCGAGATGCGTACAAGCACTTTGCGTTGATGTATCACCCAGACCGCACGGATGATAGTTATGCCGATAACTTCCGTGCGATTAAAGACGCCTATGATGTACTGAGTGATCCCGCGCGGCGTTATTTGTATGACTTGGGGTATGCTGAGATGAGACGAATGCGGCAACGACAAGAGGAGGAGAACCTCGCCCGTATCCACCACGCAGCCCGACTACACCACCCACTCCAACAACATCAACATCAACAACAGTCTTCCTTGCAGCGACCGCCTCCACGCCGTGAGGGGCCGGGGCCGTTGGACGCCACGCGGCGCGTCTCCTCCGCCGGGAGCTCCACGCGGTCCTTCTGCACCCCCCGCTCCGCCAGTCAACGCACTCTGCCGCCGGCCGATCCCCTCGGGCGTGTCGCCGCCACCGCCGCCGTCGAGTCGCACAGCGGCGCCGATGTGAGGGCACCGCCCACTCCAACAGGAACAGGCAGAAAGAACACCGCCCCACCAACGCCAATACCAACACCAACACCAACACCACCATCCGTATCAATACCAACACTACCACCGCCGCAAAGACGTTATCAACAAACACCACCACAAGAACAACTGTATAGCCAGAATCAGAATCAAGTAAAGCAGAAGCAGCAGCAACAGCAGCAGCAGCGTCATAATAGTAGTAAAATTTTTGAGAGTTCATCTTATCTGGTTCCAAAGAAAACTACAATTCAGTGGGGCACCGAAATCCCACGTTCGCGGCGAGTGCTTAACACACCGACGGAAGAGTCTCTTAGTGTTTCTGTGGCGAAAACGTGGAGGGTCTTTTTTCATTTAAATGATATTGGAATGGAAAGAAAATACTTTGTTTCACGTTAATTTCCCTTCATACACCCCACTCAAAGAAGAAATGTGAAGTATTCCTCTTCTATTTTGTTCTTTTTTTGTTCTGTTTTCCGATTGGAAATCACTGTTTGGTGTGACAGAAGAGGTGGAAAGTGGGAAAGGAGGAGAAAAAAAGAGGAGAAATCTATGTATTATTGCTGGAATGGCTCATCTCTTGTTCTCCATTTTTTTCCCCCCTTCTATTGTTTTTTTTTTTTTCTTTGCTTGTTCTTTTATTTGTATAGTTTGTATAGAGGTTTTTGTTTTTCTTTTTTAAAATAATTTTTCTGTGTATTTGAATACAGTTTCACGTGTTATTGCTGTTATGATTGTTGTTGTTGTTGTTGTTGTTATTTTTGCCACTAAATAATTATTTAGTGGCAACCCCGTTTGAAATGTAATCCAAATAAGGAAGTAGTAATAACGTCTCAAAATGTGCAACTTTGCTTAGGAGATGCACTGCAAATGTTCTTCCAAACTCTTTATTATTCCCATGGGGAAGTCAGAGTTTATGCAATGTCGTCTCTCTGTCTTTCTTACTCCAATGTTTTTTTTTTTTTTTCTGTGTGTTCTGTTTTTTTTCTTTTTTTATTTTTACGTATGTGTGTATGTCTGTATTTATTTTTCCTGACACGAGTCTCTATAATATATTTTTTTTTATTTTTATTTCTTGATTTCTTTCAATTTAATTTCTTTTTTTTTGTTGTTGTTGTTAATTTGAAGGCAGCAGAATGGACTCTGCTGAAGCAGTAGGATCCAGTAGTAGCACAAGTAGGACGTCCGAGTTAGATAGTGAACTTCACCTTCTAAATAAATGTCTCTCAAATGCACTTGCTGTTCATCTATTTGTCTCACGCTCACTCATAGTGTGCGGTGATGGCAATGGAAAAGTGGAGCAGACACTGCAGTCTACCCTACTGGATGATAACGTTCAGCTGTATCTAAAACAGTTACTACATAAATATATGTCTAGCACTGTTATGCGACGTAAATTAAAATCTGTAAAAAGTTTGTACTTCTTACAGTGTCTGACGGATGAAAAGACAAGGGATGAATTTGTACAAGTAGCGGCGCATCCCTCCTTCCCTGAGAATTTTTGACGCTATGTTTGCTATCCCCTTTCAAATGAAGTGGGGGAAAAAAAAAATGAAACATTACCAATAAACTCTATTCTTACTGTTTTTTTTTTTTTGCTTTTGTACTTGTTATCTCCTTTTTCTCTTTCTTAATTCTCTAAATGTATGTACTTGCTTTGATGACTTTTATTTTTTATTTTTTTATTTTTTCTTTATTTTTTTTTTTGAAAGTATCGCGTGGCTTGTAAAAGGGGATTTTTTTTTTTTTTTTCCTTTTTCATTCTTTATAAATCTCTCTCTCTCACTCTTTGTGTGTGTGTGTGTAGGGAGAGAAGAAGAGTCTTTAGCCATGCTAGGAACAGTGGAGAAGATATCATACGATGGCGAATTTGTTCGTCTTGTGGAATTAAGACTTCCATTACGTGGTGTTCCACGTGGACAGTTATTATCTATACGTACTTGTGAGCGTATCGGTCAGGGATCATTTGGTACAGTATATCGTGCAGTATGTGATGGGTATCCGAGGCTTGCTCTTAAAATTGCAACTGGTAAGAATGCACGGCTTCGACAAGAACTTGAGGTACTTAGTAAAGTATGTACAAAAGGAAAACTTCTCTTACCCCGTTTTGAATTTGGTGCAATTAATAAAGCAGGTGATCTTATTGTTGTAGGTATGGAGTTATGTGTACCTTGTACTTTGCATGATTTACTTTTAATGACTCGTCTTACAAATGAAGCCGATATGTTATTTATCGCTTATCAAGTACTACAAGCTGTTGCATCTGTGCATGAACAGCGATGCATTCATAGAGATATCAAACTTCAGAATTTTGTGTTTGATTTAGATGGTAATTTAAAACTTATAGACTTTGGTTTAGCATCAAGTGTATGGAATCCACCTCCAGGTGATGTTGTTGCAGGTACTGTTTCATTTATGGCTCCTGAAATGGCTCATAATGCACTACATAGAGATCAACGAGTTACCGTAGGTGCTTCCGCCGACATTTGGTCTGCAGGAATTGTACTTTTTTCTATTTTTACTCAACGAAACCCTTATCCACCAAACGCTTCTTCTCTTACATCACCTGACTCTGATGATGAAGATAATGATGAAGAAGGTGAGAATGGTAACGGTGGCGCAGCAGGAGCTACATCCACAACAACACCAGTATCTAAAACTTTAAAAAAAGAAAATTTACGTTTACTTCGTCGTGTAGCTGCTGGAGATTGGCAATGGCCTGTTGGTTCTAGCGTTTCTCATGAATTACGCCAATTAGTGGAATTTATTTTAGTTCGAGATCCAAGCAGACGACCTGATATTCTTGCTATTCTCAGTAAACCTATTTGGAACTCTCGGCGTCGTGCCCCACCAGCGGCTGTTACAGCATTCTTGGGAGTTCAAGATGATTTATTGTTATCACACGATGAGGCACATTTATTACGGGCAGTAGAGCAACGTAGCGCTGATGTAACAGCCAGTTTAATGGGTAGTCGTGCAAACAGCCCAGATGGAGAAAACACCATCGATAAGGAGAAGAAAAATCACAGTAACGGTATCAGTAGCGGGACTAGTAGTAGTAGCAACAATATCAGTGGTGGTAGTGGGAGGAACAATAATAGTTATAATAATAACAGCAGTAGTAATAATACCCATAGTACAGATACAGAAAATCGGGGGTCGTTGAAGTTTGTGGCAAAAGAAGAAACAGCAGTGGGTGGTGTACCAACACATCAAGTGTATGATGTTCGCCCAGAGGCGCGGCGTCGTCGTCCCATACGCGAGATATCAGTAGTGATTGCAGAAGAGACGGCGAAAGGACTCCGACGCGGGCCCTCCAAAACTCAGAGAGATGAGACAGCAACGACCTCACGTGGTAACTCACGTGTGAATTCCCGTGCCTCATCACGTGAAACATCTACTGCCACTCCGAGTTGTAATGGATTAAGAGAAAAGGAAAAATATGAAGATGAGAAGGAGGAAATGGATGCTGCTGCTTCTGCCGCTGCTGCTGCTGCTGCTGCGACTGCTGCTGGGGAACTCTGTGATAATGTTCCGGTCCCGCTGATGGTCACTGGAGAGAAAAGAAAAGAGGAGGCACCTGATGTTATGGAAGCTGCAATGGTTCAACAGAAATTGCTGAAAGCCGGAAATTGTCGTCGAAAGAGTCTTGAAACGGTAAACAATGGAATCAATGGTACTATAGTGGAATTAAAAGATAAAGAAGTACCTACAGGGAAGCTACCTGATCTTTCAAATGTTCTACCTCAGAGAGGAAGAGGTGGTCGTAAAAAGATAAATGACGACGATAATCTTAAGGAAGTATCTACTGCTCCTACAAAGCGGTTGAGAAAAGAAAATAGAGAAGAAAGTGTAAAAGAGACTAATGATGATACAGAGTTAATAGCTTCTTGTATAGCGATAGAAAATGCGGTGAGAAAATTTACAGAACAGATAATTCTTCTTGAACGTGAATATATATTGGGTAATTTTCGTGTTGCAATTGAGGAAAAACAGGAAAGATATAATATGATTTGGTTAGAAGAAGAACAACGAAGATCTGCTGCCCATCCTCATCGTTTTAAAGAGACTACTCGCATTAGTAAAAAGTATCAATACGGTTTTGTATGTGATATGTGTGATTTTGAGTTTTTACCAGATGGAAAAAGTCTACATTTTTTTCATTGTACATGTGGTAGAGACTTATGTCTAGAGTGTCATGAAAAGTACAGTAAACTGTGTACTTGTATTTTATGTGGTAGTATATTTGAAAACAGTGTAGCCTTGCGTGATCATTCTTTAAAAGGTAAATGCAAAAGAATTTCTGGATCAATAATATCGGAAAAAACAACAGGAACAAAACGTTCTTATGTTCGTAAACAACAAGAAACTACAGTTAACAATATCAACAGTGGTGCTACATCAAGGAAGAGTGGAACACAATGTAGTTCTTCTCCAGTAAAGAGGGTATCATCTACTACCTATACAGAACCCACTGAAGAAAATGGGAATATGAAATTTCAAAATGCAATAAAAAGGGAAGGTCTTAAAAATAGTTCTTCTCATCCTTTATCTACAGCTACGGCATCATCATCATCATCTCAACCTACTTCATCTCTTTTTAGTAAATCAATTAATACACTACCTGAGGGTCAGTGGAAACCTTTAGAACGACTTTCAGTTAGTTACAGACCTATTCAACCAACTGCAGAAGAACGTGAGTTGTTACTAAATGGAGATTGGATTCGTCACTTTCATCTTTTTCCAACTGAAGAAGAAGAAGAACCTCTTGCTTTTACTTATCATATTCAACCAGGACGCACAGGAGCAATATTTCTAAATCATGATTTTTCAATGCACTCCGCAGTAATATCAGTATTAGAACGTCAAATGCTTATTGTCGATTATGTGGATACTTATGAGGGTAAAGATGCCGCCCGTGCTGTTTCTTTGGCACACGCGAAATGCAATGCAACAAATGCATACAATCTTCTTCAACGTGTGGTTGCATATGATTGTAATATGATTAAGCAGCACCGTGCCCCTGGTACTATTTCTGTATACCGACCCCCACAAACAGCGGTACGATGTCATGGTGATCCATTTGTGTATATTCGTTGGTTTCGATTTGATACAGAACGTTCATTAAGTGCCTTTCTCCTTTCCAATGGTGCTGTACAGGTACTTGTGGGTGATCAGTACGAATTGCGCTGGTTTGATGAGAATAGAAAGTTTCTGCTTCGGAGCAATGGTGTCTGTGAAATGATAGATGATGCTAATTTTGCACTCGCACCAGATGTAAGCCGTCTTCTGTACGGTGATTTCTAGTAAAAGGCAAAATAATCAAGAGTACAGATTATATATATATATATATATATATAATCTTTTATTTTTATTCTTGTCGTTCTTGATGTTCCTATTCAGGTTTTTTTATTTTCTCCTTCACTTTATCTTCTATTATTTGTTGTGTTTTATTGTACAGCAAAAAATAAAGATGATGTGATATTGTGTAATTACAGACGAGTATGTTCTTCTTTTCGATTCCTGCATATGCGCGTTTGCGTGTGAGTTTGTAGGATCTATTGGAGACCTTTCAGAAAAAAAAAAAAAAAACATATATGATTGTGCACTTATTTTCTTTATAGAGTACAGATGCAATATTGATTGCTTTTTCTTTTTTTTTTTCCTCATGGGGTTTTTATTTCGAGTTTTTATTGGCTCCGCCTTCATCTTTTTTTTGTTTGTTTGTTTGTAATGTTTTTTTTTTTTTTCTGTATTTTTAATTTATTTTTTTTGTTTTTTTTTGTTTTTTTCGGATTTTGTCCATTTCCTTAATGTTGATTTGTTTATTTTTATTTTTCGTTGCTTCCCTCCTCTTTTTTTTTTCCTGCTTCCCCCACTATGGTGTTCATCAGCATTAAAAGCAAAAAAAAAAAAAAACAGAAGAAAAAAAAAAAGACACCTCAGCATCAGTTGAGAAAACAAAAGAAGAGGATACATAGAGATATACTTGTATATATATATATACTTATATATAAACGCAGGAACAGGAAATAAAGAAAAACACGAGATGTACGAAATGGAGACATTCCGTGAGCGTACCTTGGCGAATCGCTATCAGCCACGGCAACATCTCCCCCCGAATTTTCCTCATGTTCTGAAGGAATACGCACGTGAGGTGTTACGCGCCCAACCTGATGATGTCTTGCAGTGGAGCGCAGATTATTTTAAACGCCTTGCACTGGAAACAGATCCTTTACAAGCACGTCAGCCTCCTTCTGAACATTACGTTCCTGTTGTAGAAGATCAGGAACGAGAGATGTTACTGCAGCGACTCATTAAAGCTTTCGCAGAGCATGATAATGATAATACTGGTGTACTCTCTACACAAGAGATCAAAAAAGTTCTTCTAGAGTCATTTGAATTGACACCTTCTCAGGCGCTTTACGTCTTGACGTCTACAGCTCTTGTAGAAAATGATACCGTAGATTATAAGTCCTTCGCCAATGAGTGTGTGCGCGCAGTACAGTTTTTTCAGGAGACTCATCATGAGTTTGGAGTGGGTGAACTTGAGGATGCCACCGTCCATGGTCTCTCCAGGCGTGATGTGGAGCAGGAGTTCCTGCGTATTTTCCGTTATGTTGATGAGGCTGACACCGGGCTTCTTCCTATTGAGCAGTATTTTCAAGCTCTGCTTAATGCACCGTATCATCTCACAAACCGAGATTTACGGCTTCTTCGTATTGAAGCAGCACGAAATGCTGAAAATGAAGTGGACTACGAGTCGGAACTCGCGTATATGTTTGATCGTCTCCTCCTCGCAGAACAATTTTTTCTCTTTGACGAAGATGCATAATACAACGGTTTCGCACGTATGTCTTAAATGTTTTTTTTTTTTTCTCGTTTTTCCTTCATGGTTGTTATCTCTATGTAAATTTTGCGAGGTCCAGACAGAGTCTGCAGTTTATGACGTTTTGAGAATTACTGTAGTGCTTATAATACTTGAACTCGATAAAAAAAAAAAAAAAATGAACCAAAAGAAGGTCTGTTTGCTTGTTGTGTATGGACATTTTTTTTTTCTTTTTTTTTTTTTTCTTTATTTTATTTGTGCACCACTTTAGTGCTTGAGTGTGTGTCTGTCTGTCTGTATTATTGGCAGTGACTGTTATTTTTCTGTATTCTAGAGGGATATCCCAAGATGGATGTGAAGACACTTTTAGCACTAGCCCAGAATGCGGTAGACGTTGGAAATATAGCTGCCGCCCAGGAATTTTACGAAGTTGCCTTAACCCGCAGTCCGAACAACATTGAAGTATTGGAGGCGTATGCGGAATTAATGATTCACTACGTGCAGGACATCCCCCGTGCGAAGCAGATGCTGCAGCACGCCATTGCCGTTGATCCACAGCACGGGCACGTGAAGTATCTCAATCTCGCGCAGCTCTGTGATGCCAACGAGTCCCTCGCCTGTTATCAGCGGGCCCTCGAGGTGCTGCAGGCGGAACTGCAGGCGTGCGGGAGTCGGCCGCGGCGGCGGGCTGCGCTGCGCTCGACCCTCGCGACGGTCCACTGCGCCGTGGCGGAGTTGTACCTGACGGATCTCTGCGAGGCGGACGGGGCGGAGGGCCTCTGCGCAGCCGCCCTCGACGCCGCCGTCGCCGCCAACCCGCAGTGCGTCGAGGCCCACCAGCTGCTCGGGTCCATGCGGCTCAGTCAGGGAAGGCCGGAGGAGGCACGCCAGCACCTCCGCCGCGCCGTCGACCTCACACACCACCTCAGCGAGAGGGAACAGCCCACGTATGAGTCGAAGGTCGAACTCGCCAGGCTGCTCATGCAAGTCGCACCAGATGAGGCACATAAATTTCTGCTGGAGATACTGCAGTTAGGGGATAATAATCCATACATTTGGTTCCTCTTGGGAGAGACGGCAAGGATGCGTAAGCGATACATTGACTCCGCAAGACTGCTTCGACGAGCACGGGTAATGCTTACAATGACTAGTGGTGATGTAGAGGCATTGAAAGAAGTAGACGCGGCGATAACAGTCTTGGTAAGCGAAATGGGTGGGCCATCAGTGGCAGAGCAAATCCCTGATTTGGATCATCCAAATCCTATTGAGTTGTTGCTTCCAGAGGAAGAAGAAGATGATGATAACAATGGTGCAGGGGATGGGAATGCTGATGAGGTCTTAGATGAACCAGAGTGGGAATCATGCGATGATGATGATGACGATTAAAGAAAATGAAAGAAGAAATTATAATGAAAAATGCGAAAAAAAAAAACAAGAAAAAAAAAAGAGTAAAATATCGTAAACGTATAAATAATTCAACGATATGTGGTAATCCATGTATGGATTTCTTTAATTATACTTCTTTGAAAAAAAAAAAAAAATGCTCTATATTTTTTAAATCTTTTTTCTTATTTATTTTTTCTTTTGTTTTTTTGGTATTTCAAAAAAAAATTTTATACATATTATATGGAGCGTATGGAAGGTCCAAAGTGGTGGACCGCGTGACAATTGCCGTTCGTAAACACGACGGCTATTAGTTAGACTCAATTTGGGCTGGTGGTAAGCTGAGATGAGTCTTGTTACACATCCCAGAAGTATCACCATTGATAATGCTGATTCACGTAATGCTTCCTTTGTAGACGACGTTAACACTGAAGATGAACCTTTTTATCGGGCCCTTCGTGGTATTTCTCTTAGTGATGACCATATGGCAGAATCTTCAACAGATATGGAAAGAGGAGGTCGTCACCGGCGTGTCTCTTCATATGATGATAAGGAAATGCATCACATACAGGAAGGAAAGAAGAAACAATTAAAGAAGTTTAATCCCAATTATCTAGATCGTCTTACTGCACCCACTGTAGCCTCTAGGTCGAGGTCCCAGCAGAAGTACAAGGATCAACTACGTGAGATGAAAAAACAAGAAGCATCATCACAAAAACCTATTTCACCTGTAGCAACTAAGGCAGGAAAGCGTTTGTATGCTGATGCTTTGGGAAAGAAAAAACAATTAGAACGCCTTAGAGAGGAACATGAAAAACTAATGAAAGAGAAGGAAATAGAACCGACATTTCAACCGAAGATAACATCTTTAGCAAAACGTATGGGTGCGGCAGGTTACGTACCCCCTCATGAGCGTTACACGTTTACAAGTGAGAAACTAGCTAAAAAACGTTTACTACAGGAAAAAGAAAGAATGGAACGAATTACAGCTGGTTGTACATTTCATCCTAGTTTAACTTCTGCTTCAGAAAAATTAGCTAATAAACAACGTAAAAATGAGCCATTTGATGATGTTGGTGAGCGTCTTTTTTATGAAGGTGGTAGACAACTTATAAGACAGCAACTTCGAAAACGAATATTGGAGCAGAATGCTGAAAAACGTGTCGTTGGTGCCTTTCAAATTACACAACAGGCCGCAAATGAGTTATCTTCACGGTTATTAAAATGGAAAGAAGAATGTGACCGTAACCGAGAAGCTGCGCAGAAGGCGTATCTCTGTAGCATTACGAAACAAATTGGATCTACAAATAAATTAAACTCGAGACGTGAAAAAGGTTATTGTTGTTCTTGTTGTTGTGGTTCTTGTTCCTCTCAAAAACCATCATATTCTAAAGCAAAAACAACGGATATACCAATAGAGAATGAACTTCGTCGAATGCATTGTCGGGCACTTTTTTTTAAGTATGCTTCTTCAGATAAATCATCGTCCGTAAAACTTGAGGATGTGAAAAGACAAGTAAGGGAATTATTTCCAGAAGATTCTAGTATCGTAGCAGCATTAATAACTGATTTTCGTGATGGTGAACAAATTAGTAGATCAGAGTTTGTAGAAAGTCTTTTGCGTTTTGAACACTTGCATGGTCCTCAACCATGGGGTCAACCATCATGTGAAAATGTGCGAACAGCTTTTGGAAATTTATTCATACCACAATTATCACAAGTGTCACCACCGTTATTTTCAACTGCACGTGAAAGGGTAAAGAAAGCAACAGAAACACGTAAACGAGCAAGCTCAGTTCATGCAATGCATCCGAAGAAAAAAGATAGTATAAACAATAAAAATGGAATATTGCCCTTTTTACATTCTCCATCATATCGTCGATCCTCATCTGAAACAGTATATGAACGTCTTTCACGAAATTCTGATGTACGTTCTGAACGTCATGAGCTTCATCATAAAAAGGAAAATTTGGTAGGAAATAATGTACCAGGAAAATTGCTTAGTAAAAAATCTGCAGAATTGAGTGCATTGAATAATGAAAGACGTTCACTAGATAGACAAGAATTAGAGCTCCTCCGTAAGAAGGAACAGATTTTGAAAGAACAACGCAATTCTATGCGTGAAAGTTCATTACCACAAAAGTCTCAGGAGCGATCACTAAGTCCAGGTAGTGTGGAACTATCAAGCTTAACAGAGAACTGCGGCAGTACACCAAATATGAAACGCCCAGAAGATATTGTGGCTGAGTTAGAAGCGCTTATGGGTACCCCTACAGAGCGTTCTTGTACTGCTTCTCCTCCCCAATCTGCTGTACATTATGATAAAGAAGGTATAAGAAGCTCTCTTTCTTCTTCTTCTTTGCCATCTGCACTGAGGCGTCGTGTAGGTTCTGGTCTTGGTCCTGTTCCCTTACCATCTAAAGAATCAGAAAGTGTTGGTTATGCGGAGTCACATAAAAGACGCATGGCTCAAGAAAGAGTACTGAAGGAAATTCAGGAGTTATTAGGTGAGAGCCAATAATTAGAGTTACATACTAGTAGTAGGATGATAATTTCTCTCCAAAACTACACCGTGTAACAGAAAAAAAAAAAAAAACAAAGACAAAGACAAAAAGATGCACAACTGTTCTCTACATTGTTTCATTGTGGATGAACTCACATTTTTGTTGGAAAAAAAAAAATAACTACGTGTACCATAATGAAAGATGGAGCAGTCAAAGAGAAAAGGAACAAGTAGACGAAAAAAAAAAAAAAAGACAAAGAATACAGATTCTTTTTTTTTTTTCTTTTTGCTGGGCTTTATAAGCTAATCCTTACGTTGTGTCAATAATATTGATCCCCCATTCCTACTGCTCTTCTTCATTTTCACTGAAAAATGTTTTCTTTTTTTTTCTTTGTTTTTGTTTTAATTGATTTGTGATAGTTTATACTCGTTAGTGAGACCCCCCATAGTGCAGAATGGGTGATCCCTTTGTGCGCCCTGGCTTGACGTATCAGCCACACATTGAGCAGGTTTTGCTCCGCAATGAGGGTACACTCACACTTGAGAGCAGTAAGGATGATTGGTTAAAATATCAACATCGGGATACACTGGCGAGTATCATTCTCCATCGTGATCGTCTGGAGTATCTTTCGGTGATAGAAAATGCGGCCCCAGCACGAATGGAGCGTATCTTACTCGAACGTGCAGTAGATCCCACACGAAAGAGGGAACGAAGCACTACTTGATGTCATTATTGAGAGTGATGGCCCCTCCCTACCCTCAAATAAGAACTATTTTGGAATATCGAGGGTAAAAGAAAAAGACAAAAAAAGGAGGAAGAGGAGTATGAGAGAAGGAAGGTGGTGATTCTGTGAAGTAAAAAGCGGTTGCAGTGGCATGCCGTTTTTGTGCGTTTCTTTTTTTTTTTCTTTTTTGTTGGATCTGTTTTTTGACCATTGTTACTTTTCTGTGTTTGTTCCCTATTTTTTTTTTTGTTTCTGCTTATTTTCTACACACTCTCTTTTTTTTTTTTTTTTATTCTTTTCTATTTTCATGGAATTACTTTTTATTCTTTATTTCGTTTGTTTACTGCGTGTTCCTCTTGGTATTTCTGGGACAGTGGTAATAGTACACAGAAAATTATCTTTGCATTTTTTTTTTCTTGAAAACAAGTATTTAGTTTTGTCAAAAGATGTTAAAGCGTCACTTACTTGTTTCTTCACATTACCGTATTTTTCATTGGACTGCTTCTTTAGGTACACAACGACGCTTTCAAGGACGAATTCCAAATAAAGGTTATCGTGAACAACCAACAGTACCGGATCGACTTAAGGATGCGGTTTCTCTTTTTGGGGCTGATGCACATAATGTCACCCCGGATGATCCACCCTACATTCCAGAGGAACAACGGATGCACATGACTAAAGAGATTATGGGGAGTAATCAGAATATGAAGAATCATGCTAAAATGGATAGATTACGAGTAGCGTTAGATGCTGTACATAATGGAAGTCCTGATCATGCAGGATGGAAAGAGGTATATCTTTTTCTTCGTACTACGGAGTTATGCTGTGAGTTAGAAAAAGATCCTACAGATGTTTTCCCAAAAGGTAAAAAACTTTGGATTAATTTAGATGAATGTGAAGAGAGACGACGTCCAGTACTAATGCAGATGCCGAATGGTATGATTGTATTACCTGTTTTCTCTATGGAGGAATACCTTGATCATTATTTTTCTCGAGTTGATGCCTTTGAATCTTGTTGGTTCCCCATTCCAAGAATGGGTTCACAGTATGAAAATTTTTGTAGTTTACCTTTTCCTGTTACAGCTGTTGGGGGAATGAAACATTTTAGTGCTCTCGCCACAGTAGCGTTATCATCATTACAATTTGGAATTCTTGTTAATCCTGGACAACGTACCAGTAAATTTATTACCTATCCAGAAATGGTAGAACTTGCTCGACAACAAAGTATGCGACCTAAAGATCGTAATAGTAATTTAAAACGTAAGAATGGTGAAATAGAAGAGGATTTGTTTGAACCAATTTTTAGATGTGGGTTTGACACTAGAAAACTTCTGATGAAACGTGTAGAGCCTTTGGATCTGAGTAAGATTCTTAATCCCCGTCCTCGTATACCTCCTGTGGCAACATTAGAGTTGCATCTTCTTCTTTTTGAATATGAAAAAATATTAAAAGTTTTTGTTCGAACTGTAGAAAGACCACGTTGGCGTCGCGTTTTTGGAGCTTCTGAAAAGATGACTCAAATAGACGTTGTCCTTGAAGGTGGAAAAGCTAATCGAGAGATATTTGAGCGTATTAAGAAGTGGAGTTTCATGGGAGAATTTCATTCCGATGTACACATTGAGTTTGCATCCACAGTACCTGTTGGACTGGATGGGGATGGAATGATAATGGTGTACGATACGACTGATGGAAAGCTTTTGCGTGAAATGAAAACCTTCAGAGGAGTTACACTTCGAAGTGCCATTGGATATGATGAGCCTCTTCTGGACGAGTATGGAAATCCCGCATCCTTTGTGTCTCGTAATTGATATTATATATCGGTAAGACTGTTTCTTGTTGTTGTTCTTCCTCTTCTTCATTGTGGGTGGTACTTTGAAGGAGAAAGTGGATACACGCACACACACACAAAAAAAAAAAAAAAAAAAAAAAAAAAAAAAAAAAAAAAAA